CCAAATCTGAGTCAGGGTCCAAACAAACAAGCAAACCCAGTAAGAGATATTTATATACATGTATATACAGAGAGAGAACAAGGAACTGGCTTACACAGCTCTGAGGATTGGTTAAGCAAATCCAGAATCCATAGGGCAGGCAATCAGAAAGGGAAGATCACAAGCAGGCTGGAATCCCACAGACACTGACCAAAGCTGTGGTACACAGGCGGTCTTGATTTCTCTCTCCAAACAAGGTCTAAGCCCTCTTTTAAGGCCTTTCACCTGATTAAGTCAAATCCACCCAGGATAATCTCCCTAACAACTGATTAAAACCAAACCACACCCAAAGCAGTCAAGTCAATTCCGACTTATAGTGACCCTTTAATAGGACAGAGTAGAACTGCCTCATCGGGTTTCCAAGGCTGTAAATTGTTACAGAAGCTTCCACATCTTTCTCCCACGGAGCGGCTGGTGGGTTCGAATCACTGACCTTTTGGTTAGCAGCCAAGTGCTTTAACCACTGCGCCACCAGGACTCTGTAACAACTGATCATGGACTTTAAATATGAAAAGCACCTAGATTAGAGTCTGATTAACTAGGAGAAGGTATGTATATGCTACAAAATGGCAGATACTTCCCTACTATCCTCCAATTCTACCAGAGAATATCTTTTGTAGTGCCCTTATCCAGAAACATACTTGAAACGGAATTCTGGGGAATGTAGCTTAGACTAGCCAAGTTGACATACCACAAAACCATCACACATAGTATGCTCAATTGACTGTCCTTTTACTAAATTTTCTTTGGGCTGTTTACATGAAATGATCGATCTTAAAATCAGGATAAATCTAAATTAAATGTGTATAGTAAAACTTGTAATAATTCTTCTCTAGTACCATAAATGTTTTTAAATGTTCTATATAGGTAGTCTGGTTATCTATTGCTGAACAATGAATAACCTCAAATTTAATGGTTTAAAATAACAATCATTTTATTATATCTCATAATTTTGTGGGTCAGGGATTCAGACAGGAATTAGCTGGATAGGTCTTCTGTTCCACACAGCATGAACAGAGGTCACTTAGTGCTATCCAGACCAGAATAGACTGGTCTGGAGGGTCCAAGACGACGTCACTCATATAATTGGTTCCTTATTAATTATGGCTGAAAACCAGACTCAGCTCCATCTGTTAAATGCAGCACCTGCACATGGTCTCTCTAACATAGCAGTCTCAGTGTAGTCAGGCATTTTACATAATGGCTCAGGAATCCCAGGGCATCTATGAGACCCAAGCAGAAGCTGCAGTTTCTTATGACTAGCCTCGGAAGTCCTATAATAATATTTCTACTGCTTTCTATTGGCCAAGCAAGTCACTAAAACCAAGCCAGATTCAAGGCAAGCAGAATTAGACTCTAATGGGAGGAGTAACAAAGACTTCATGGCCATCTTTTAATCTAACACACTACGAAATCATTGCTTGAGTGTTAAGAAATATAATCCTTGATAAAAAGGATTTTAAGACTGAAAAATGGGTCGACTGTGTAGTTAATTTTGAATGCATATATTAGCAAAGGGAAGTATTAGGGAGTTTTAATACTTATTATCACCATCATCTGTATCAATGCTTCTCACACTTTATTCTCCATACGAATCAACCAGGTATCTTGTTAAAATGCAGATCTAAGTCAGTAAGTCTGACATAGGGCCTGATATACTGCATTTCTAAAGCTCTAGTTGATGTCAGTACTACTAGTCTGATGACATATAATAATCTATATCAGAGTCAACACTTTTTTTCTGTAAAGGGCCAGACAGTAAATACTTTAGGCTTTGCAGGCCACATACAGTCATTTTTTAAAGACACGTTTAGAAATGTAAATGTAAATTCTTAGCTACAAAAATAGGCTACAGCCTGGATTTGACCCAAAGGCGATATTTACCTGTTCCAGGATCTATATCACTGTTTCTCAAATTTGATGCATAGTTGAATCATTTGAGCAGTTCTTAAAATATTGATCCCTGGGTCCCACCCCCAAATATTCTGATTTAATTAGTATAGAAATAGGGATTTTTAAACACTCGCTAGGGATTCTGATGTGGTAAAGTTGAGAACTAATGATCTATATCACCTCCTATCTTATCCACTTGAACCTTTTGTGACTAAATCTTTTTCAATATGTCTACATGACTGAATTAGTACAGGAGATCTCTTTTTCACTTTAATACAAAGGCTGGCAATCTAATTCAAGGAATAGCAAGCAAAGAGCTCATCCTTTCATCAACACACATCTGAACACAATAGGATGCCTGCCCCCAATATACGTCCTGTGTCAGTAAAATAAAATGAAACTTGAAGCTGAATTGATAGAAAATGATGAGGAAGTAGCATGCTGGACGAAAAAAAGTGAAGCAGAAAACTTCAAGTTAAGTAGAGTGGTAAATTTTAAGGCTATGAAATGCAGAAACTACCATGTTGTTACCATTGTTGGGTGCCCTCAAGTAGATTTTAACTCATAGTGTCCCCATGTAACAGAGTAGAACTGCCCCACAGTTTTCTAGGCTGTAATATTTACAGGAGCAGATCACCAGGTTGATCACCATCAACCTTTCAGTCAGAAGCCAAGCACTTAAACCTTCTGCCACCCGTCTCCTATAAACATCATCAATTCAAAATAATTAGGGGAAATTTTTGAGAGGCTTTCAAAGGTCTCAACTAGTAGAGTTCTGCTTTAAAGACTGAAGATTAATAATAAGCACGTCAACATACAAATGACTTGAGAAGTCTGCCTGAAATGTTCTAAGTAACTTTCAAACATAGTGTATATATTTTCATTAAAAGGTTTCCAAACGAACAAAAACCAAACCCACTGCCGTCAGGTTAATTCTGACTCACAGTGCCCTGCAGGACAGAGTAGAACTGCTCCATAGGGTTTCCAAGGCTGTAAATCTTTACAGAAGCAGATTGCCACATCTTTCTCACGCTGAGCGGCTGGGGGATTCGAACCTCCGATCTTTGGTTCGCAGCTGAGCATTTTAATCACTGCCACCAGGGCTCCTTTAAAGGGTTTCCAAAGAAAGTTATAAATTCTTATTCAGCTCTGTTTGAATTAATATACATTTTATTAAACAGACTTTTTTAAAGCATCATACCTGCTACCTTTCTAAGCTAATAGCTTTAACTCTGAAATTCCTATTTTAATAATTTAAAAAGCCATTTTACACTTTCAATCCCTCTCAAGTAAAATTATTCCCAAGTAAAACATATATTTATTCAAAATTAAAACCAATAAATGGCTAAAGCTACTAGTAAATTATAGTGTAGCCAAGTACTATCCCATTTTTCTTTTCATACTATGTTTTTTCTTTATAGTTTCTGACACTCTTGTTTAAGTTTCCTCTGTGAATTAGCTCTCTTTATGGCTTAACCTCCTTAACTGTACTTCCCTCTACTTTTAAACCTTTTGCATAAAATAGTACCTCTGTACACAGTAAAACTCAACAATAACACTTGGTTATAAGGTCCCCTCATTCTTTTAAGCATTCAATAAACAAAAATATTAGGCTCTCTGTAAATATTCATTGAATTAATGAGTGGCCACTTACTCTATAACTGATGCTCAATTCAAGTTTTGATGAGATCTAAACTCCACTTAAAGGCCAACCATTTCAGATATCAGAATAAAGTGCTCGTGACCTAGGAGTCTATATACATCTTCTAATTTAAAAATAGAGTTCAGAAATCTACCTGGTATCTGATTACTCAAATAGAAGTTAAAATTACTGCTGGAAGCAGTTTTCTACTCCTGTCTGCCTTCTATTATCATGGATTCATCAGAGATAATCAGTATATATGTATGTCAGCACCTTCATTTCTGACTATGACCAATGGAGGGCTAAAATTCAAGGAAAATTAAATTAAAATTGTACCACCACAGTTTTCCTTTCAACCAGATACACCTCCACTTACATTCAGTATGCTGTTCTACATACCTCATGGTTACTGCTATTCACTACTTCTAATCATAGAAACTAATTGAGTGTGCTTTCATTCTGAGAATTAGGAAAATAAATTCATGGTGTCTCTAGAAAAGAATGTCCCTTTGTCCTAATTATGACATGTACAGCTTTTAGCTGAGAAAAATCAAGAGGAATTAAAGGATTGTGCGTTTTACTTTCAAAAATTATAAACTTAAAATTATCAGAGATAGGGTATACTTAGTAAAACAAATATTTTATCAGGCAATTAACCAATTATAAGCCCATTATGAAATTGGTCCAATCTGCTTTTAAATTATTTTGTAGTGACATTTTCATCACAGTTTATTGATAAATGCTGCAATGTTCCCTCTCATTTCTCTCTGGTAAAAAGACCGCTTTGAGTGATAATAACAGGAAAGCAAACTGAATGAAAAGGCTACTTTGTCTATTGCATTAAGATGAAAAAGTTGGGACTCCCAAAAAGATAATACTTAATATCCCATTGCTACACTTTACAACTTTATTGTCATATTTACTGGAACAATAAATAGCAATAATCAGTGTTACAAACATACTACTATTTTCTCTATTCTGAGTCAAGTTTGAGTTATCATATAGAGTGAAAATAAAGAGTTTTTAAACTAATGATGGAAGGACAAAGATATTGCATTCAGATAGAAAAAAATAAGCAAAGCAAGATTCAGAGAAAAAAAGGATAATGCATAAATAAGTACTGTGAAAATGTGAGCACAGAAGTTATTTAATCTGGAAACATGCACTGATATACTTAAGTCACAAACATATTCACAAGTGTACATACATTGTTTCCTATATAACACATGAAAGAGCCAAAGTTACATTTCTGGTAAGAATTTAATGAAAAGAAAACTTTTAGAATATCCCTAGAATTAAAATTGATTCTAGAACAATGCAAAAGAATCAAAATTGTATTACTATACTTAACAATGCTAAAATTGTATGCTAATTTGTTAAATTCATTTTGGCACTGACTAATAGAACACATTACCTATATAGTATTTCAATCAGAATCAGAAATTTCACATGAATTATCACTAATGGTGGGAAAAGTTCTTAAGCCTTGTTTTCTTGCAGTTCTAAGCTGGTGCAAATGCTCTTTCATGTCCTGAGAAATATGGCAAATCCGTCCTTCTATTCCAGGCACTGCAATTACTGCTGATTGTGTATCTGATTTTTCCTCAAAAGCTATAAGTACAGTAAAATCCAGTTAAAATACATAATGCTCCCCCAAAACAAATATTCTAAAATAAAGCCTAAAAGTTTATTAGAATACATGAACTGAAATGTACATCAATAATTTTAACTCAAATTTCTCTGAATATCCATTCTCCATGATCAACTGTACAACCATGAATAAAATTTCAATAGAGACATTAAGTAGTTTTTAAAAAAATAAAAAGAACATTAATTAGTCTTGATTTAAAGGCTGGTGCACTTTCCTTTCAAAATTATAAACCTAGAACTTTCAGAAACTGGGTATATTTAGGAGGATAATTATTTTATTCAACAATTAAGCAAGTATAAAACTCATTATGGATTGAGTTGATCTGATCTTAAATTGTTTCTAAATGACGTTTTTTTAAAGAATAAAACTTTAAAACCAAATCAACAAAGACAAGCTATATACGCCAAGGCACAACGCGTATTAGGTTGGTAAAAGATATTATACAGGACATTTAGTAAGCCAATTTGAGTAATTACAATAGTTCCTATAGAACAGAAGTGAGAGAGGAAAAAAACAAAACAAAAAAACACCTGAAAAAGCAGTTAAGATTGTGAAGTGGAAGATTTTGAAAAAATTATCCATTCCTCAAACTGTTTTGTTCTTTTTATCTTTGAATTTTTGATTATGCCTTTCTTATAATATTAGTTTTTTCCTCGTCTAGCCTTATACCTTGGCAAAGAAGGCTCAGTCATTATTGTTATGTTTATCTTTTATCATATTTCCCTAAACATAAGAAATTAGAGCACCAAATATTATCCATCTAAAGTCCAAAATATAACAGAAATTAAAAAATGAAATACTTAAATAAAATAAAACTATATTATCACCTGTTAATGATGGGGATTTGGCTGTAGTAGTAATTAAACTCATTCGATGGCCTGAAAAGCACTGTTTCCTTCCCTGCAAAATTTTTATCGATTCAAAATGATTCATGACTACCGTAGAAAGTACTTGTGCTGTTTCTGTGTCAAACATCCGAGGACAACTTTTCAACATAGTGTAACCATCCTTCCCCTGAAATATCAAAACATATTTCAATTTTCTAATCCACAAATATGAATAAAAATATGTATTTTAAAATGTAGTGTTGGTACTGAAATACAGTTTCATTCATATGCACAAAAAGACATATGTTTTAATATATGTAAACTAATATACTTAAAAATTCCTGTCCTACTTCCTGAACCTAGAGTTGATATCCTTGACCCTGACCCTGTTTTTCTTGGCTGTATTCCCTAGCAGCTTTAGGAATGGGCTACCAATAATTTCTTAACTTGGCTATAAAACAGAGTCAAGTTAAAGGGCTGTTTCGTATAGATGTAACTGAATCTCTTCTGAAACCTACTGAATACTTTTCAGCGTTGGAGCTCTAGAATTTGTACTTTTAACGAGGTTCCTGCCACTACCATGACCCTGCTCTAGACTCAAGCATTCTAGAACCCCTGGACTAAATTTAAAAGCCCTTATAGATTTATCCAGCCAAGTTGTATTGTACACAACTAAATATTAGAGAAACAATTTAAAAACATTGAAAATATAAACATTAAATATGTTGGAAGTGTTTATCACTAAATTTAAAGTTGAGAAATCCATTATGCCATTTGTTTGTCACTTCTGGCTATGTTTGCCAATTATTTAAAGAATAGTATTAATAAGCATGAATTTTAGATGTTCTGTATTTTACAATGAGGTAATACAAAAATAAAAATAAAGAATGAAATCATACCTGCAAGTAAAATAAAATAAATGTAATTCATAAATTATAAAAATACAATTAAAAAAACATGTATTTAAACCACCAATGGTCTGGAATCATCAACAGAAAATTATATATGTGAGTGTGTACATATATTAACACAAGACAATGACTTTAAAACATTTTCAAAATTAATTAATCTCACATTTGCAATATACTCCTTAATAGCAAGAAGATAAACTTTTTTTTTCCTTAAGTATTGTCCTTGAACTTTTACAGTATCTCTTATGATCCGGCATCCTGGTTCTGCATCTGGATCAAACCCAAATTCTATTCCAGCAACTTGAGGAAATCTGAAATTTAAAAGATATTCTTGGATAATTATATAAAAGATATATTAATCACAGGTAATATAAAGTATTAAAATTTAAGTAAGTGCATTTTATTATGCTACTTAAATTGCCAGTGTAGAAATACTTCCCTTCATTGAATCATCAAACAATCTTTATGTGGGAAAAAAATATGTTTAGTCTAAAACATTGAGTCTAGCTCTTTAAGATTAGCATCACTAAGATTCATTAAAAATATTTAGCAAAAGAATATATACAAATAATATTATAAAAAGTAATGCACAAAGTTTGATAAATAGATATCCAAAACAAGATATGGACAAAAATGGCATAAGAAGATGGAAAAAGGTCCAAAAACTGAAAAGAAGCAAAAATTAAAACATTTGTATCTTTGTAAAAATGTTAATAAGCAGCATTACATAAACAGGTGTAAACTTATATTTTTAGAAAATTGGGAGGCAAGAGGAATACCTTTATTTTATTCAGGATAAATTTTTGAAGGAAATAGGAATTTGTATTTTAAGAACTCTTTAAGAAAGGGAAGAATATTAAAGACTTTACCATGGAAGGATTCTAAGCATAGACTATATCATAGGAAAGACAGAAACACCCAGACTATTTGATAAAAGATACTGAAGATAAAGTTGGCATATACATCATAATGTTTAAAGATACAAGGATTTGGGGGCAAAAATAATAGGAATTTGGGAGAATAAAATAATTAATTCAGGGATACAGTAAATAATTCTTGTTGTAAAAAATCTTTAACATTCAAGAGATAGACCCTGAATGCTCATGAATTCTCAAATAAATATGAAAAATGTTTCATAGGGTCGTACTTTTTCCCAAATTCGTATTTATTTTATTATATCTTCTTCCAAAAATATAAACACCTTCTCTTGGTTACTGTCTTAATGTCCCTGATGTTCAACTCTTCATTTAAACATTACACATATTTTTGCATATATATTTACAGAGATTTCATCCCTCATGTTTTATTTCCTTCCCCTCCTAGACCCTGGCTTGACAGATGACAGATAAATGACAGATGATAGACAGACCGATAGGCCGACTGATCGATCGATTGATAGGGCTTTTTAAGTGAGGACAATGTGACAATTAGTTACTCTTTACTGCTTGATGTGTTATATGCTTCTATCCACCCACTTTACATTAAAATATAACAATTGTACCATCTTTTTTTTTTTACATTGTATTTTTTAGAATAGTTTTATGATTACAGGAAAATTGAGCAAAATACTCAGCGCTCCCACATACCCTTCTCCACTCCCCTGCAAATTTTTCCTATTATTAACAGCATACATTAGTGGAACATTTGTTATAAATGAAGAATCAGTACTGAAACACTGTTATTAACTAAAATCGTAGTTAAAAGCTACAGCTGCTAACCAAAAGGTCAGCAGTTCGAATCCACCAACTGCTCCTTGGAAATCCTATGGGGCAGTTCTACTCTGTCCTATAGGGTCGCTATGAGTTGGGATCGACAGCAACAGTGTTTTTTTTTTCATTCTTTGTGTTGTGAAGTTCTACGTATTTTGACAAACGTATGTCACGTGTCTTAGAATTCTCCAGAGAAACGAACCGATAAGAATCTATCTACCTATCTATCTATCTACCGAGAGATATTTATTTTAAGGAATTGACCATGAAATTGCAGGGGTTGGCAAGTCCAAAGTCCGTAGGTTAGGTGATAAGCTGGAAACTTTGGCAGTCTTGAGTCTGAAACCCGTAAACTAGGTGGTATAAACTGGAAATTATGCCAGAATTCTATTTAGTCTTGAGACAGGATCCTTCTCCTTCAGGAAACATTAGTTTTTGCTCTTAAGACATTCAATTGATTGGATGAGGTCCACCCACATTATGAAGGTGTCATGGATTGAATTATGTCCCCCCAAAAATGTGCATATCAATTTGGCTGGGCCATGATTCCCAGTACTGTGTGATTTTCCTATATGTTGTAAATCCTGCCTCTAAGATGTTAATGAAGGAGGATGGGTGGCAGTTGTGTTAGTGAGGTAGGATTAAGTCTACAAGATTGGACTGTGTCTTGAGGCAATCTCATGAGATATAAAAGAAAGAAGGGAGAAGAGAGACGGGGGACCTCATACCACCAAGAAAGCAGTGCAGGGAGCAGAGCACGCCCTTTGGATCTGGGGTCCCTGCATGGAGAAGCTCCTAGTCTGGGGGAACACTGATGAGAAGGCCGACAGAAAGAGAAAGCCTTCCCCTGGAGGTGATGCCCTGAATTTGGACTTTTAGCCTACGTTACTGTGAAGAAATAAATTTCTTTGTTAAAGCCATCCACTTGTGGTATTTCTGTTACAGCAGCACTAGATGACTAAGACAGAAGGGTACTTCATAATGTTTTACTTAAAGTCCTCTGATATGTTAATCCCATGTACATACCTTCATAGCAACACCTAGACTAGTGTTTGACCAAACAATTGGGCACCCTAATTTCGATTATTTGACACAAAAAGTTAGTCATCACATTATGCATAAACCATTATGTATCACAGAAGAGTTTTACTGCCCTAAAAATCCCTGGTGCTCAACCTATTAATCCCTCTCTCCCCCTGAGCCCTAGGAACCACTGAACTTTTTACCATCCCTATAGTTTTGCCTTTTCCAGAATGTCATATTGTTGGAATCATACAGTATGTATGTAGCCTTTTTAGTCTGGTTTCTTTCACTTCGCAATATACATTTAAGTTTCCTCCATATCTTTTCAAGGCTTGATAGCTCACTTCTTATCGCAGAATGATATCCCATTGTATGTATATACCACAGTTTATTTATCCATTCACCTACTACAGGGCATTTTGGTTGCTTCCAAGTTTTGGCAATTATGAATAAAGCCGCTATGAACATTTGTGTTTAGGTTTTTATGTGAACAACAATTTCCAATTCATACTAAGAAACACAACTGCTGGATCATATGGAAAGACTATGTTTAACTTGGTAAGAAACTGTCTGTCTTCCTAAATGGCTGTATCATTTTGCATTCCCAACAGCAATGAGTGAGAGTTCTTGTTGCTACACATCATCACCAGCATTTGGTGTTGTCATTATTTTGGATTTTAGCCATTCTAATAGCTGTTTAGTGTTACCTTGTTGTTGTTTTAATTAGCAATTCCCTAATAACATACAAAGGAGCCCTCCTGGTGCAGCGGTTAAGCGCTTGGCTTCTAACAGAAAGGTCAGCAACTGGAACCCACCAGCTGCTAGGGAGAAAGATGTGGCAGTTGACTTCCATAAAGATTAGGGCCTTAGAAACCCTATGGGGGCAGCTCTACTCTGTTCTATAGGGTTGCTATTGACTGAACAGCAATGTGTTTTTGTTTCTTTGTTCTGTTTTTTTATTTTAATGACATACAATGTTGAACATCTTTTCATATGGTTATTTGCCATCTGTATATCTTCTTTAAAGAGCCCTGGTGACCCAGTGGTTAAAGCACTTGGCTGCTAACCAAAAGGTTGGTGGTTTGAACCCACCAGCTGCTCCGTGGGAGAAAGATGTGGCAGTTGGCTTCCATAAAGATTACAGCCTTGGAACCCCTATGGGGCAGTTCTACATCATCTTATCGGGTCACTATGAGTCAGAATCAACTCGACGGCAGTGGGTTTGGGTTTTTTGGTTATATTTTCTTTGGTAAGGTATCCAGATTTTTTGTCCATTTGTAATTGGGTTGTTTGTGTTTTTATTGTTTAAAGATTTCTTTGTATATTTTAGATATATGTCCTTTATCAGATACGAGTTTTGCAAATATTTTCTCCTAGCTGTGGAGTTTTCAAATATTTTCTTGTATTTTCATTTTCATAACATTGTTTTTCACAAAGCACAGGTTTTAATTTACTGAAGTTCCACTTAACATTTTTCTTTCATGGATCATGTTATGGGTGTTGTATCTAAAAGGTCATCACCAAACCCAAGGTCATCTAAATCTTCTCCTATGTAGTCTTCTAGCAGTTTTATAGTTTTGAATTTAACATTTAGCTCTATGAGGCTTTTGGAGTTAATGTTTTGGAAAGCTGTAAGGTTTTTGTCTAGGTTCATTTTCATACACGTGACTGTCCAGTTGTTCTAGCACCATTTGTTGAAAAGACAGTCCTTTCTCCATTGGATTGCCTTTCCTTCTTTGTCAAGGATCAGCTGACTACATTTCTGTGCTCTCTATTATATTCCATTGATCTATTTGTCTATTCTTTTGCCAGCAGTACACTGTCTTGATTACTGTAGCTTTATAGTAAGTCTGGGTGGTGTCAGTCCTCTGACCCTGTTCTTCTTCAACACTGTGTTAGCTATCCTGGGTATTATGTTTTTCCTCATAAAATTTCGAATTAGTTTGTTGATATCCACAAAATAATGTGCTGGGAGTTTGACGGGAATTGCCCTGAATCTATAGATCAAGTTAACAATATTGACAGATTAAAAATATTGAGTCTTCCAATCCATGAACATGGAATATTTCATTTATTTGAATTTTCTTTGATTTCAGAGTTTTGACGTTTTCCTCATATAGCTCTTACACATATTTTGTTATATTTATACCTATTTCATTATTTTTGGTGCTAATGTAAATGGGCTTGTGTTTTTAATTTCAAATTCTAATTGTTCATTGCTAATATATATGAAAGCAACTGACTTTTGTGTTTAACCTTGTATCATGCAAACTTGCTGTAACTGCTTAGTAACTGCAGGAGTTTTTTGTTGTTATTGTTGATTCTCTGGCATTTTTCTATAGACAATCATATCATTTGCCAACAAACAGAGTTTTATTTCTTCCTTCCCAGTATGTATGCCTTTTATTTCCTTTTCTTGTCTTAATTCATTTTAGTACATGAAGTGTAATGTTGAATAGGAGAGGTGAGAGAGGACATCCTTGCTTTGTTCCTGATCTTAAAGGGAAAGCATCTAGTTTCTCATCATTAAGTATGACGTCAGCTGTAGGTTTTTTGTAGATGTTTTTCATCAAATTGAG